CCACGCGCCCTTGAGTACTGTATGATTCGCAACGTAGCCTTCTGGCGGGAAATTCGCCCAAAAATGTTACCCTTCTCTTGAAACGCGCACCTGAGTTTTACGCAGGTAAAAATGGAATTTTCACGAATTATCACGTTGAAAAAATGATAATTCCATGAATACTTACAATGAAATAAATGATTTCAAGTGGATTTGAGCTGAAAAAAAGTCCATGTTGATTATTTGCACCTCCAAAGTAATAATTTATTTGGCTTGGACCGCTAATTTTATAATTTTCTGCCTCAAAAAAATTTATAACTGTGTACTAGGCGTAGAACTCACTTTTCTGGTTCGATTTTACAGAACAAATTGCATTTGGTACTTGAATAAATATGGATAGCATTCTGACTATACTTGAGGGACATCAAAAATTGATTTGTTATTAAAAACAAATTCATCATTGTTAAAATATTGGATGTAGCAAGATTTCTCTACAGTTCAAAACATTGATACAGTACCTGTTTGTCAAAAAAAACTTGCTCAAGAATGGTTTATCGTCATCAATTTATTAAAATTCCTCACCTTATTTTTGACTGCTCAACTCCTAGCGCATTTAAATTTCATTTGATTTTAATACAACAATTTTTCACGTCCGACTTCTGAAAAATTAATGAGCAAAATAAAATGCACATTCTTCAGATTTAATACTGTATCGCTGAGCAATTCAAAATTCCTTGAATTTGTCCTGTTGCTTATCTTTTTGCGTATTCAAACTACATGTGATTTTACATCATAATTCTTTCACTTCCGACTTCCGAACATGTAATAATCAAAAGAAAATTCCCATTTTCTAGGTGCGAATGTAAAAGTGTTGGTATCACACTGTGTTATCTTAAATGCAGATGATGTAATTGCAATATTCTTCAAATTGAGTGTGTCTACATGTTGCAATATAAAAATGTCCCGAAAAACTTCGATGGGAACATTTCTAGCCACTGTTTCATTTTAACCTATTTTTTGCAGAAAATTGCTTTCGACGTCTTTCGAACTGATCCCCGAGAAACAAAATACATTAGTTTTTCATGAGTTACCTTTTGAGTTAATCCTGCATGGAAAGAAAAGGACACAGATGAAAGAAGCATAACCTTTGCAAGTTGCATTTGTGGGGCGAAAGGCGTAACTTTCTTCGCCTCAGTTGCTTCATTTTTAATTGCCGCAGGTCAAGCTAAGTTATTAGTCGGAAATTCCTTGTTGAAATCCAAATTTTCTCCTGAAAAGCCGTTATTTGGAGCCATTCAAGAAAATGTTGTACAAAAAAGTACGATATGCCACTGTTGATGACCTGGAACCGGTTTTCCGTCTATTTTCGGTCATCGTGAACGAATGTCGAATAGGAAACTGCCATTCGAATCGAACGCTCGGATTATTCCAAAATAAGTCACACAGTTGACTTCCAGGTATTCAATTAAATTTTTTTCACTGAGAGAGTTTCATTCATGAGTCATGATCGAAGAAAAAGTATAGGTGCTTTCTGTGATTCAACTTTCTAATCGATCATGCCGTTCCAGAAAGCATCGGACTTCTCGTTAGCTCCTGTTCTTTCTTTGTTCGAGAGTTCAAGACGATTTTAAAAGCAACGACGATGATGCTTGTCAGAAATCGAATCCGGTGTAAATTCTTGATGAATCAGCGATTTTTCTCCATATACGCTAAAGGTATCGTCTCGGGCGATGGCCGAAGCGAACTTGAATTTTTCGAGAAGCCTATTTTTCAACCTACGATTTTAAAATCGAGTCCAACAGCCAAAAGGCATAATTATGTACCCAATTTACACCCTCGAAGCATGATTCATACTCTGGTCACGACTGCAGAACGCATCTCACTCAGTAATGATGGTGATGAGCGGGCAAAACGCTGGCGGATAAACAGGATGACGCAGTGCGAAAGCCTCACACGACAATTCGGGGGGCATCGAGGAAAATAAAAAAAAGAAAGAATACGGGAAAAATATACTGTATATGTATATCGTAAATCCCAACGAGAAGCTCCCCGCCGTGACAATCACAGTCATGGAAAATGGTAACAAGGGAGCTGACAAAGTTCACCCCCAATTGGTGCCAGTGAATCAGCAGATCTTGGGGTTTTTTGGGGTAGCTTTTGTGACTGTAGCAGCGCAGGCTAATGATGGGTTCGACGTTGAGATTGCGACAGGGATGAGTTTGTAAACTTTTCGGCTAAGGTCTCGCTGTTTTTCCACACTTCGGTATTTGCCAATAACTTTCATATGCAGACCAATATAAATATGTCTGTGACTGTAAAGAGCAGCGTAAATGGTAAATTTTAATTGACCAAGTCTCAGAAGAGCTAATGAAAAAAAACAATACATAGACGATTTTCGCAGCTAAACTTTTTTTTCAAATAAAACCAGTCGGGTTAGCTTACCATTTGTTGATTATAATACGTTAGATGACTGTTCCTAAATATTTTTGGGGGCTTTCAGCTGGAAAATTTGCAATATTTTTTTGTGTACCCAAATTTTTGATTTTTTGCAGGTCTGCGACGATCCAAAGAACAAGTGTCAACTCTGCGAAATGTGGTTGAGGAAAATTTAAAGATACCCTTAACATTTCTTACTAAAGAAATGCTTAAAACCTTCCCATTTTTTTATTATGCGCGATTATTGCCGTTGAATCGAAAATAAATATTTTTATTGGTCCAGAATATGTTTTGTTCGTCAGGATAAAATGTCGTTTTATTCCACGGAGTACTAGAGAAAGGGTGCAAAATTCAAATATATTTCCTAGTCTTCGATGGTTTCTTGATAGTACAGGTTCTTGTTTATAAAAAAATTTCCGGGTTGGTCTGTCAGTCATAAAACCAAGCCAATATGTGCGAGAAAAGCAGGAAGAAAGTTTTACACTTAAAAACCGCTGTTCATTGCACATTATTTTTGAATACATCTGTTGAAAAATTTTGTATATTATAAAAAAACGTTATAGCTGAATTTCAGGTGAAATGTACAGTTGGTCATTCAAGTTTTAGAAAATGAACCATTCCCGAAGATTATAGTTATTACTGATGATGCTCCTGCATTTGGCGATATCAGAGGTTCATCTGAAACAAATCATTGAATATAATTTGATTTTATCTGCTTTTAAACGAATCGATTTCTTGACTGACACGTAAAAATTGGTAAGCAAAATCCATCCAATCAGGAATAAAATATTTTTTTTCCGCTCATACAAATACTGTATGATGCTTTACCCCAAGTCTTCTCGGTTGCGTTCACTTCGGGGTAGAGATTTAGTGTTGCTTTAAGAAATCAACTTTCAAAAAATGTGTTTGCTTCAGCGAACATAAAACAGCAATTACAAGTTAGTTTCAGGTCTTGTGAGTATACAGAGGAGAAGGAACAAATTTAATCCCTTTCTGCGTAAGTTAGTTGGCGCATTATTATACTGTAATGGGAAATATTGTAGTGTACGCGGTAGCAAAGAAGCCTTGCCGATTATTTTTTCTTTGTTACGGCGTCATTCATTTGGCCGAATGGGAGTTTTTGAAACTTGCAGAACCTTCTACACAAAAGCTGCTTGTGTGTGTATGTTTATTTTTTTCACCAACCCACGGCCAGTGGACACATTAATTTGACGGGGGAAGGATTCATCCGTCTCACACATGGAATCTGGCAACTGAAATCTGAACAGTATTCTGTTTGGTCAAGTGAAACGCTAAAAGGTTGCCGATCTCGAACAGAGCATTGTAAAAAATTTCTGTGGGGAACATACGATCATTATTTTAGAGCTGGAATAAAACAGATTTTTTAAGCATAATTCTGGCAAATTTTTGACATTTCATCAGAAAAAATTGCGTTGAAGATGCTAGAAAACCCACCCTCAGCTTTTCGAAAAATAAATTTCTCTTCGAATTTTCAAGATCAAGTCGAAACTACTTCAAAAAATACGGTCGTATGCGAACGATCTAAACTTTTTGCGCGCAAAATGTTCCCGTAAATAAGGACAAATGAAGAAATTGTGAAAACCAGTAACGGATGAGCACTGCTAGGATGAGGTTACTTTGTCAATGGACCCTCTTTTTTTCCTTATTTATAAGAGAATAGTAGAAATTTAATTTCAACTCATGTTATTAAGAAGGTAAATAATCTCAGGTTCGGTTTAAGTAAAATATGGGAGGTCAGGTTATGCAGTTTTTAAAGTACAGTAGTATGCTTGAGGATTGAAGCTCGTATATCATGTATCATAAATCCTGCTTGTGGCATTCGTTCTTTTGACTTTTGATCTTGAGCTGCGCTATAATACAAAAATTAGAGAGTTCATATGATTCCGAATTATAACATTATAACAAAGTCAAAAATTCTAGATCAGTGTTCCCCGAACCCGTGGTCTGCGGAACCGCCGAAAGTCAACAGAAGTTGTTTGCCGGTGTCCGCGGGAAATTTTCTTCAGCATAATGCATCCATTAAAAGTAGCAATTAATTCTGTTATCTTTGTCTGAAATTTTGGAAAGACAATGGCAGTTGACATTGTCTTTCGAAAAAGGAAGGTTGGCTTTTCTTTTATAATAACACGTCAGACAAATTTTCACCCGCTGAAATAAATAATATTAATTTTCCATCTCCAGAACCTTCCCTCAAACCAACCTTCTTTTTTTTAGGATATTTCACTACAGCTGCTCCATTCGGTCTTATCTTGAATTTTTCAAAAAGAGACACTTTTAAAATATCTGCTGTAAAGTGACAGAATAATTTTGCTCCGCAGACATTTTTTTGTGGAAATTTTGCCAATCTGCGGACTCAAGAAGGCTGGGGAATACTGTTCTAGATCATATCCAAGGAAGAGACAATCTGAGCGTTGGAAACTCCGAAGGACTTGTTAATAAAAAATACTTGAACCTCGTCTAGATTTTGTAGGGAAACGCGCCATATGTACCATAAAATTCCACTGTATTTCTCTGAAAATAAGGCCAACATTAAAGCTTTGTTGAATCTTTTAACTACGAATAAATCTACTTGAAGGTTCTCGTAACTGCTACAATAAACTACTTTTCTGTGCTGTCATAAATCATACGTTAAATGATGACCGTCGCAAGATTTTCCTCTCGTTCACACATTCACCAGAGCTTCTTCAGTATGAATAGCAAAATCGATCACATTGCACTAATTTTTATCCGAAATCTGCCGTTAATTTTGCAGTCTTGAATTAATTTTCCATTCGTGTTGAGCTGCCGATTTTCCCCTAATATTTCCGAGTGACAGGAAAAGGAATCTGTTTCTGAGGCATATCTTCTTGAGAGAAAAAAAAAGGCCTGGCAATGGCTTTGCACCTTCAACCCACGACTGCAGTGGCTCGTAGCAAACAAATTCAGGAACACGATGACGAGGATTCGGGGGCTTTGTCGATGTTGGAGTCGTTGGCTGATTCGGAAGCTTGTCCGTGCGGAAACCGGAACAAGATTCCGACGGTTGGTCCTTAACGTTTTATCGCGCTCAATTTTCCACGAGTATCAGTTGGAAACGAATTTTAAGAGAGGGGGGTGGCCTTTATTTTGGCGATAAAAGTTCGGGTTTGCCTGTGTAATTTTCCGTGGACATGTCTGTGCGGTTGTTCAGATGAATGCTACATTTTGCATCAGAAAGGTTTAATTTCGTTGCAAATCCTGGAGCATTTCGAGATGTTCCGAAATTTAAACGCTTTTCTAATTCATGAAAGCTATAAAAAATATCGTGTACCCTAAAACCATTCCTGTTTTAAAATTCCTGATTTATTGTCGTTTTTCTCTTTGTATTGCGGACGTGCGGAACTCTTACAGGAAAGTCACATTAATCGGGATTTATTTTGATTCTGCAGGATTGAAGTTCTAACGAAAATAATCCAGCGAAAGCACTTACGGGAAAGAAAATTCTTGCATTGATTTTATGCTCCCTACAATAATTAGATGCCTGAGAGCATTTAGGAGTTATCCCAGCTGTTGTAAAATGGGTTCTACTTACATTATTTCTGATCCTCGCTCTGTTGTATCCCAGAATAATTATCCATTAGTTTCTGGAATGAGGTTCCTTGACATCAAAAGTGGAAAGGAGGGTTTTTTTTAACCATTCAGATTATTAAGAAGCAATTGGTGGACCAGTTACGAGCCGTAAAGGGAGATCATACTGAGGCTGACAACGGCGAACAACGTCAGTTGGTAGCTGATAAACCGTCCGATGTACCAAAAGCTTCTGGTGATGACCCGAGCTTTTCCGTGGATAAACGCGATCGTGCCACGTCACCACAAACGGAATCTGTACCGAGTGAGAGACTTCATCAATTTTTCGAAAAAATTTCCGATATCGATGGAATTATGGCAAGCCCCACAGAAAATCTGCAATCCGCATCGCACATGGACTAGATTTCGTCCAAAAGTTTTTCTCAGTCGCCTGGGTTTATTTCTCAGGAGTATAATGGGGTGGATATAGTTTGGCATGATTTTCAAGACTCTTCTCATCACATATATTCATCACAAATCGAATTTAATAATCCGCGTTGAAACGGAGTGAGGATATATTTGAAGAGTAACTTAATTCTTTGTGAAAAAATAATGCTCACCATTTTCATGCCTGGAAATTGTAATATCTTGCGGCCAGTCTACAAACAACCAATTATTCGATGTAATTAATAAATTGTTTACTCATAGTACGCTTTGAGTTGGCGTGTAGCCCGTTTCGTAGCTACAATACACAAAACTTCACACAGACATTTATTTCTGAGACTCCAACTTTCCTCCAACAAACAATCGATTACTCGACTTGAATTGGATTAACAAAATACGCACGAGTTATTTCATTCTTTTACACAAAATCGTTGCAGACTTTTTTTTTTAATGCAACAGCACTCGTGCCATTTCCAAACTTCAAGCACGGTCTCTTCAAGTTATACTAAGTGACCCAAAAAAAATTTCACCAAGAGTTTTCGAGTTAATAAGGGAGCTAGTTCCGCTTTTCAGTTTGCATGGGAAAACAAAAAGAATTACCTGATGTTGACATATATTGGGAACATTCTGGGCCTTGAACTGTTGTGCTGAAATTTGAGCAGAAATTAATTTGCGCAATTACTCACTCACATCCTTTTATATAAGAAGCTTCACGTGAAATTCCTATAGCTTACATTTTTGTTGGTCCTGAATATAATAATATAAATTCAAGTTATACAGAGGTTTAATGAGGAAAGCCTTCATTTACGTAGGTTTACATTATTGTACGTAGTTCTTTAGGGAATTCAGACAGATTAAATAAAAATTTGAAAATGGATCACCCCTTGAGGAGGTTTGAATCAGCCAGGTCTAGCTATAAGCCTATAACAAATTTTGTTCCAATTCATGTCGAAAGTTGCCTACATTCATACGAGAGGCTTATTTAAGAAGGTATAGACGAAATGCGACACAATGCACATCAATGCGCAACATTCATCAATTATCAGTGGATTTTTGAAAACATCTTTTGGCTCTTATTTCAAGAAATTTCGTCCCTTTTTCAAAATGAAGCGCGAAAACGATTGTAAGCGTCACTCATGAAAATGATATCGAGAAATTGTTGCGGTCTGCAGTGAAATCATGAGCTGTATTCATAAAATGAATTTAGAATCAATTCAAACAACTCATCGGTAAATGAATTTCAAAATATCTGCAATTCAACATTTCTATTCATTTTCGAAAGTGAATCTGGAAAAATTTTACGCGAGTTGAGACAGCATTTTTTTTACCGCAATTGAATGAACGACAAATTTTGGATTCATCGCATTGAATAAATGATGAAGAGGACTTATTCATCTGTGATTTAAATTTCCGTTGGTATTCTTCGGTTCATCTGGCTAAATTACGCTTCCTTTTCCTAAGAAATCCCCTGCGATTTAGATACGAGTTATATCCCTCATAATTAAAGACAGAGAAGAGCGGTTTACAATGCGAGACACGAGAACATATTTTCAGTTATACTTAATTATTGGGTGTATTTATTTCACTGGACATAGTGAATTACATGCAGCAATTCACACTCAGCGTGAAGATTCACGTTGAGCATGAAATTTTCTTTCAGAGATTGTGGATGTGCCGGTCATCAGGAATGAGTTGCAAGTTCACGCTGCGACTCAAGTAAGTTAATCTTCTCCTTTTTTATTCATTTCACACTGATTTTTTTTTATCGTAGTTCAATTTTTTGTGGATAAAGAAAAGGAGAGATTACTTTCCTCTCACATGAACAGGACATTTTTATGCTCGCATGTTTATGGCGGCTGCATTGTAGCTAGCATCTTCTGGGTAAAACGGGTTTCATTATCTGATTGCAAATGAACCTGCGCGTGCATAAAAAAAAAAAACAGATTACACGGTGGTTTCGAACAAAACAAAAAACAATTAAGCCTTGAACCAAGTGCATGGAAAAAATTAGGAATGAAAATACTCTAGCTCAGAAATTAATAACTAGCACCACTATAATAGTCTCTGTCTTAGCGCCAGCAGTTTGACATTGTTTTACTCCTTTGACTTATGTCATAGATTTGATGGCGACATTTTGCATTTACAGTATTGTACTTCATATTAACGAATGGCCTCGCATACGAGGTGCACACCAAGTTACAACTGTGAAACTAAGTTCTGAAAAAGTATCTCCACATAAGATATCTACCTTAGTTTTCAGTGAAAATTGGTTGATTGTAAATTCATACTTCCATAGATAGGAAATTATATTATCATCCTTCGCTTTTTATGAATGATTTTTCTGTGATGTGATCCAAAGATAATGCTCAAAAGAATTTTGGAAAATTTCCCGAATTGTTTCGAAATATGACGCGGAACCTTCTGTTTGATCTTAAATTTTGGAAGGAAAAGTTCGTCGGTTACTAGATTATGCACAGACATCACAGTTTATTCAATAAAAATATTAAGGATGAAACTACTCTTCGTTCGAAAAAAAAATCGTCAACTTGAAAAATGCTGATTTGGAGTAAGTTCGTTCATTCTATCCTCAGTGAATAAAAACAGGTAAACATTACAGAATAGCAGCAGTATAGCCTTCGAACACCCACTTTCCATGAATCTCATTTTGAACGTTTAAATATAAACATGCGCGCTGTGGAAACTAATCGAGAAGCGTTTTCTTACGTTAAAATGCGAGGGAGTATGTGTTCCCGAGAACTAGTTTGATTATCTTCTTTTAGTTTCCAGAAGTTGAAATTGGCACGGAGTGTCCTTTTGCTTTCCAAGACTTTTACCCTGGTTCAATAAATGAAGAAGAAAGGCGCGGCAATCAAAAGCAAGTGCTGCGACATCGAAACTTACCGGTTTTGCTCGCCAAGGCAAACATGTGGCTTCAAGAACATCCCGAATTTTCGGTAAATATATAAATTTTACTTCAGAAATAATTTTACCCATAATTTAATTTTTTTAATGGCGAAATTGTGTTAAAGGTCCATTCAGTGGAGGTTATAACAGCAGATGTTCGTTGTGCTGATTTGGATGCTAGCAAAATTTCTGCGCGCTTCGAGGACAATTTCTCTTCCATCACGTGCTTCAAGGGATTGAGGTTTTGGCTGAAAGAAAATGTGAATTGCATCATCAAAAAACAGGTTATCGGGCATTTTTATGCGAAAGCACCGACAAGCCAAACGATGAGGAGAGACAATCAGCACAAGAGACTTCCCGACCTTGTTCAGGAGTTGAATGCTATCGCGAAGGAGCAAAAAATTCGCGGAAAGGTTGAATTTTTTTTCAATAAATGTCAATCTTCAACCAAACTTTTAGCAGCAATCATTGCATTTATAATTTTGGGGTGCTGTTTGAGGATTTTGCAATGTTGATGGGTTCATCACGGCCAAAATCATAATTTTTCTTCAGATGTCATGGGATTATGTCTACCTTCGATTTTGTGACGATCAAATGGGTTACAAAATAAGGAATTTCTTAAACTTAGTAAAACTTTCTCATCGAGAAACATGAATTAATCCACGGCAAGAAGTTCTTGTTGTGCATGAATCAATATTGCAGGTATTGGTTCATGCTGATAAGTATTAAACATATGAAACTTGCGCAAAATTCAATTACGACTGGACAATATTAGCGACATTAATCACAAATTTAAAATTAACTTATCCTGTATTTTTTAATTCAGCAAATCATCAAAATCCTTGAAAAAAATTGACGATGAAACAATTTTCGGAAATAATTCAAGTCCGGTTGACAGAAACAGCGAAGAACAGATTATTATTACTCAACAGCCTTTAGTTTTGTCACTGAGCAAGGCCGAATTTGGACTCTGAAAGAAGCAGCACATATTGTATTCAATTAAAAGGAAATACTATTCTTTGCATATTTGATTTATCTGTCGAGAAAGAAATCAGATTTCACTATCACAGACGTTCTTTTATTCTCAAATGCATTCAATCACGCATCTCTCCGCTTAATATTTTTTTCATCATCCTTTAAACGCTTGATCATAGAAGGTTAGAAATAAAAAATTCAAAAATATATTTTGAGGTAATAAATTGTAATACAAGCTTCCTGAACTCATCTAGCATCATTCAAACCCAATCGCATCACAAGAAAATCGGAAGTCTACTCGTAACAAATCAAGTATCCAAGCGTGGTGCATTAAATGCTTTTCGGAAATGATCGCGTTGAACTTTGTTCACCGTGTTGTTATTCTGATGATTGAAACTG